AAGGAAAATGTTCGCTTGAGTAATCCATGAGAAAATCTCAAGCAAACACGTGAGAACAAAACAAAAAAGAAATAGAAAGTCTCCCTAACTTGAATTCGCCCATGCTAAAATCAGAATCAAGAATTCACCGTGCCATTCCCCGGCAACGGCGCCATTTGATAACCGCTTTCGCGGCGTTGTAGTAAAACGGAGTCTAACCTTTCGGTTTTTCCCCGAGTATCGTGTCTCTTGAGGAATATCGGAGGAGTTTTCTTAATTTTAAGCTCAGTCACAGGTTATCGCAAATTATTGGAAGCTTTCCGAATTAAAACTTTTGATTGATTTTCCAAACTAGTTTTTTGAAAAATAAAGTAATTAAATTATGCAAATCTAATGATGGATCAAAAATAAACTAAATGAAAAATATTAAACTCTAAATGGATTGATCAAAGAAGGGCAATGAATTGAATAATTAGAAATGGATATATTCTTGGACCTAGTAATTAGGGGAATTAAAACAACAATTGGACTAATAATTTGTTTTCTCATAGACAAGAATAGAAATTACTTTCATTAATTTATCCTATTTCTAGGTTTCATTAATGCATTCAAAAATGGTTGGCTTGAATTAAATTCTAATCTCATAGACAAGACAGAAATAATTCTCCAATATTTTAATTAATAAAAATAGCCAAATTCATTAACTAATTAAACTCATTATTTAAGCAATTTGAATTTATTTCTCATAGACAAGATGTAAATCCCTTTCATTAAAATATCCTATTTCTAGGCCTTATTAATGTGCTTGAATAAAGTTGGCTCAAATTATTCTCTAATCTCATAGACAAGTTAGAAATAATTTTCCAAAATTTAATTAATGAAAATGGCTAACAATTATTAATTACTAATTCATCAATTTGAATAACTAGCCCAATTAATTAATTTTAACCCCTAATTTTCGGCTAACAAGTCAATCCATATTCTTTTACTCAATTCATGCCCAAAACAATTTTAGCTACTAAACATTATTTTTGCATTTAACAATATGGTAAATAAATTAACCATTAACAAGGAATTAAACATGTATAATAGCAAAAATTAATCAAAAATAAGATCTTATCAAAATAAACTTTCTGGAACTACAATATGACTTTTTGGAATTTTCCACGAATTTTTAAACCTAAAATCCAATTTTAACCCTAATTGATAATTTTCCCACTTTTAACTATAAAATACAAGAGGCAATTAAAAATAGGCTAAATTCGTTATAAATTTTCTATTGACTACTGGAAGTGATATTACAGTGAAATAAACTGGAATTAGGGCCGAAACTATTTTTTTTACTCTTTTTAAGTAATTAATTTAATTTATGCAATAATAACAACTAATTACTGAAATTAATTAAAAATTACTTCTGCTTCGTAAAAATTAACTTTCTTCAGATAAATAACAACCTTGAGGCTATTAAACAACTATTTAATTAATTGGAATGAATTCAACATCAACGACTATTTTATTTAATTTTTGGAAGAAAATGTGAAATACTTGATAAATATTCTGGAAAATTTCGAAGAACAGATCGAGAAAACAAAGCACAGATTCAGATTCTACTCGTTGAGAAGATGAAAATACATATAAAGAACTTACAAATTGGAGCTAAAATGAAAAAGATATGAAAGATTGAAGTTGAAGGTGCAACAATGGTGGAAATCCGAGCTTTGAAGAGGAAGAAGAAGACCTTTTTGAACTAGTTTCGGGCTAAGAATGGTGTATTTGAGTTCAGCAAAAATCGGGCTATTTATAGCACCAAAAATCTCGCAGGCCTCCAAACAGGCGGCCGCCTGCCGCCTTGCTCCGGCCGCCTGCCGTCACATCGCACCGACCGGTTGTTCGTTTCGTCGTCTTGTGCCGCAGGCGGTCATCGAAGGCGGCCGCCTTCCGTCCAGTGTCGGCCGCCTTCCGTTTTTCTCCGGTTCGGTCAAATTTCCAAAAAAATTGATTTTTCAAAAAAAAATAACGGCAGGCGGCCGCGCAGGCCTCCATTTTTTGGCCGCGTGCCAGGCCGCCTATGAGTTTATTTGACCATCTTGTTCTGTATTTTGTGCTCTTCAACTTTCCCTTCTGGACCACTTTGAAATTCTGCTTGCTTCTTTCGGTATGATATCATTTTTTCACTCAAATTTACGCATTTTGTGCTTAATTGACCCGAAATTTCGTCAAACATATCATGGACGTGATTTTTACCTAATTTCATGAAACTTGAACCAAAATATATAAAACATGCCTTGTTTTTCTATTTTCCAACCCAAAATCGCTTAAAATTGATAAGAAAAATAAGTACAAAAATGGACTTATCAGTGGTGGTATTTAACTTAGTATGGTTTGTGAATCGATAGGAGTCGAAATTGCCAAAAACCGCCACTTAAAAGGAGCTGCTCAAAATTGCAGACTGACGAACACCGCTCGGCTTTGGTGAAAGCCGCCCGGCTTTTGTCCAGGCACTCCAGTTTTATCTTCTTATCGATTTAGAACGGAGATTGATCGAAGGGCTTAGCAAGGGCAACTATTTCAGCACTCCATAAGGTGAGGATGACTGACTATGTTGCTTATAATTAGTGAGTTAATTTAATGAGATTACCTAAGGTAATTAAATGTGTTTTTATGGATTATTAATGATTAATAATGCCCCAAAATGAGAAGATTATTGTCTGTGAGAAAAGGAGCATGATATACAAATTTAAGAATAAATTATGTATGATCATGTGCTATGAGTATGTTGACTTGGAAATGGAATTAACTATGAAATGCATGATGAAATATACTTTTATTTCATATAAGAATATATGAATGATTAAAAGTGATATTTTGGTATATTAATATAATGATGATATTTTCAATGGAAAATCAGTGGGGCATTCTATAAATGACCATGAATAGAGAACTTTGTTTTGTTAGAATTAATTGGACTAGTATTGATATACTAGTTGGACATTAAAATGAAATCTTGTTAAAATTGATCCTAAGGTTGGATTGTGAAGTATTATGCCTTAAGTAGTCTTAAGAGATACTTTAAGGTAGAGAAGTATGAACTTTAAGTTATACTAGGGGTAGGTCTTAAGGGATACCCAAGATAAATTGAATAATAAATTGATCCTAGGTATAGGATTGGCCTACGGGCGTGTTCGGTAGTCCTTGAGGATAGCCGGTTGAATTATGGGAATAAGTAAGGACCATGGCCCTTTCCCGACTCTAGAGAGCGGGGTTGGATAGCATGGACTTGCATCGTGATCACGGGTTAGGGTGGAATCCGAATCGGAGACCTAACTAGGCTCCGGTAGCGGTAACACATAAGATAGGACCCCGAAGGGCCTTACCTTCCTACGGGATGATGGGTATGAGTCCAGGGGCGGGATGTTGAAATCCGAACCGAGAGCCTCATGAGGTCCTCGACAGCGGTAGCAAAACCCGTAGAAATAATAAGACCCACAGGTTGGGTTGTACAAATGATAAATGCAAGGAAATATATAAAAAGGGCCGTGTGCCGACCAGCAAATGAATTTACTTATTATAGAGATAATAAGTGTGAAATATAAATAAATATTTATATTATGATATCACCCTATTTTGAGGGTCTTAGAAATTAAAGCGTTGATTATATACTCGGTATAGTTGTCATTGTACTTGTCAAATGCTTCCAAGTACTGACCCCCCCTTCACGGGGGAGGCCACCTCACAGTTTCAGGTAGAACGTGAAGGTTGCTACCATCGCCCGTTGCACTGGGAGAATCAAGAGAAGAAGATGTGATTCGTGCTTCTTCTGTTTTCTGATTTTCAAAACAATTATAATAATGCTCATGGATATTATTTTTTTGAATAATTATTTGGGGGCTTGGATGCCCATGTTTGCCAAAGTGAGGCATAAACACTAGTATTAATTGCTTCCACTGTTTTAAGTGAATGTTCTACATTATGTTTGTTTATGGATGTACTATGTGTGAATGATACTCAAGACGCCTTGTATGGTATGGATGAGTTGAACTGTGGTTGACTATTCGTACTGTACGGCGTGTTGTTGACGTGTCCGGGTAGGCCCGGGGCGTGACACTTAACCCGTACCCTGCCCCTATACCTCGTACCCCCACCCTATACACCCAATTCAAAACCCTTGACCTCTACTCATACCCTTACCACGATCTTACACTCTACCCATACTCCCCTAAAACCGTTCATACCCACCCATACCTACTCGTAGGGGCCGGGATCAGGATGGGGCCGAGATAGGGGAAAAGGTAGAGTGGGGGTAGGATGGCAGTAGGGTGGGGGTAGGATGGCGGTACGAGGGTGGGGGTAGGATTGCGGTAGGGTGAGGCCGAGGTAGGGGCATGTGGGAAGGGGTAACATACGAGGTGGTGGTAGGGTAGGGTGGGTCGGGGTGGGGTTGAGGTCATAGGGGGTGGCGGTAGGGTAGGTTGGATTGGGGTGGGACCGAGGTAGCATGCGATAGGGGTGGGGGTAAGGTCATTGTAGGGAAAAGGGGTATGCGGGTGGGGGTTGGGTGGGTAGGGTAGGGGTAAGGGGTAAGGTACGTGGATGGAGGCACTAGAATGAAATCGACATCGGAGCAGGACCAGACCCACCACTAGGTGTAAGTATGCAAATTCATTGCAGCGGCCTGTAGCATCTGCGTTTTCTAAATTTGGAAAACTAATAAAAGTCACTTCTCCAAATCATTAAGGAAAAGAGAGACATGTCTCATTTTTTTTCGTTTTGGAAAACGGTTTGGTAAATGTGTTTTTCTGTTTTCCTTTCTCCAGTTTTCCAGAAATTTTCATTAGTAAACATGTTTCATGTTTTCTAGTTTTCCAGAAAATTTTCCAATTTTCTGAAAAACTGGATAATAGCTCTTTTAGTAAACAGGTCCTTAATGATCATCCGCGAGCACTGTTCATCCGTATTTTATCCCTAAGAGAATGACCCATAGTAGACGGGTAATTGGAATAAATTGACGGGCCTAAACGCCGCCAACCATTGGAGTTGACGGACTCAACATTTTTATGAAATTGTTAGCGAATTACATAAATACGAAGTAAATCTGTAGCTCTGTTCCACATCATCTGGGCCCCATAACCAAGATTCATGTCCTCTCTTTCTTCGTCTCTAAGAGAACAGCGCTCGTTACGCATCTTCTCCCTTCCGAGGATCACTTGTGGGTCTGTTTAGTGACCGGCGATGCACGAAACGGAGCTCGGCGATCTGTCAGACGACGCCGATTACGCTGCCTCTATGCAACAGGTATGGCATCTCCGTAAGTCAGTAGCAATCATCTCATGATATCAGCACCCACCCAGATAACCACTCGCTTACACATTTATTACTTTATTTGTGGGGTGTGCACAAGAAATGTGCAAGTGGATGTGAATACTGAATTAGGATCGTCTTCCTTTAGCTGTTGCCATTTTTTGGGTTAATTGGTTTAATCAGTTCATCTCTTTCGTGGGTTTTAAAACCTGGAGCGAGGAGCGCAGCCAAGAGGTATGCTCTAATTGAAATGAAAAATAATTATATTAACTCTAGTTTTGAAATAGTAATCTGGATCAACTCAGAGTTCATTTATAAGCTTGCTACTACTCAAAGAATCGAAGTATAATGCATTTCATTATGCTAAAAAGTTTACTGATTTTCAAATTCCTTTACTCTAGCAAACTCATCCATCATGGAGTCGTTATGTGTTGTGTTTACAAGTTCTCTTTCAATAACGTTGTCAAACTATTAAGAAAGTCATCATACGTGTTGTTACAAATTACCATCTTCATATGTTTCCTTGCTAACAATGTTCTCTCATTCGAGGCAGATTATGGTAATGTTAGATAATGCCTTGTTTTCACCAACGTTTCACATAAGTTTGCATGATTAGCAACTTGAAATTGATTATTCTGAACTACATGATCATGAATTATTTTTGTCTGATGGGGGACCTGGTTATAGAGAACGCAAACACTAATATTATCTAGACGCACCAAACAATCACACATAGATTCAATCAATCAAAAAAGAGAAACAAACATCGCCTATCACCAATTGGGATTAATCACTCTTTTACTTTGCATGCGACACAAACTTATGACCCCAAACAAAGTATATACAAAAGAACACCAGATATATTTAAGTAATTAACAACAAAAAGCCAACTAAAAAGAAATGAAGTTGATAAATATTGTAGTAAAACATATTAATGAACCCCATGTGACCCGTCCAAGCCACCCAGTTCTACGGAGTGCTGCAGAAGCACCTCGACTTGCCATATATCCAACACCCACCATTTCCCTTTTACTTTTATGGTCGCCTCTTTTTCTAGTTGCTTCCAAGTAGCATTTTTTGTGTGTTTTATTTTCGTAAGAGGCCAGCCCAAATGTGCACTGGTACAAGGCCCAGTATGTGCCCCCTCCACCACTGCATAGAGGAGTAGTATTGAAACAAGCTTCATTTTTTAATTCTCAAAATAATAAGGAAAGATCAATGATGAGCTCAAATTCAAGATATGCTAGTAGTGCCCTGAGGTAGCTTTGCTATAAGGGGATTGAAGCGCGTTTTTCAGTGAATTCATGCTAAATATTAACTGTTAAATATTGAATACTCATCAGTTCTGTATCTGCCTCGGGCTGTCTTTGGTGGCTGGACATTATTGTATAATTTATAATTTTGTAGTTTATTATCTCAATTCTCATAACTTAATCAGATTTTATTCATGCGAGCGTTGTTAGACGTTCGTAGTTGCTCGTCAATGACCAGTTCGTAAATTAGATTGTTATAATGTTTGGTTACTTGTGTTAGGGTTCAGCAGCAATGACTCGCAATGATAGCAGCAATAGCAGACGCAGTACATCAAGTGAAACCGATGGGGCAGAATTAGTGTACCTGAAGGACAATGTGACAATTCATCCCACACAGTATGCCTCAGAAAGGATTAGTGGTAGACTGAAGCTGATTAAGCAAGGAAACACTCTATTCATGGTACTATTGCACTCCCTAGTTCTGGTTGATATTCCAATGCCATCCCAATTTAAAAAATTAATATCCACGAAAATAGTTCATCTTTTATGTACCGATAGTGTGGTTATGTTGTGTATCTGGTTTTCGTTTGTGACTCTTCATTGTTCTCAAGGCTTGACATGATTGTGGTACTATCATCATTGCAATATTATTAGCAAATCGCCTGAAGGATTATAAAATTCTTTTCTTCTTCCTTTGGGATATATGGACGTACATAACCAAGTGCAAAATCTATGCCATGTTTTTGTGTAGTAATAGCTGTTAATTTAATCATTTTAGTTGATGCTTTCTTTCTACTAATTATGAAATATGTATGAACTTTTATTGTGGTAGACATGGATTCCTTATAAAGGACAGAGCTCAAGTGCGAGGTTACCTGAGAAAGGTTAGTTTCATAACGTCAAGCTATGCATATCTGTGAAACACATGAGAAAATGTGGACGCAACACATTCGTATAATTTGCTATAATTGTTGTATAACGGCTATTTTCTATTTAAATGTTTTTCTTCAGATAGAAATCTTTATACTATAAAGGCAGTTCCCTTTTCGGGTGTTAGATCAATTCGGAGGCACACACCTACACTTGGATGGCAATATGTAATCGTAGTTCTATCATCAGGTACCAGACACTGAAGCAATGTTTTTCTCTTTTGAATTTATTGATGTTGTTATCTTTTCAGCATTTTATAGGAGATTAGTGGCATAAAACTATGTTGTCTATACTCCTTTGTGATAGCTAGTTATTGTGAGTCATGATATAAACGAAGCCTGGTAAAACAAATTTATCTAGTCTTTAATCATTAATTCTATCATTGTTTCTGTGTAACTGAGAGGTCACGGGTTCAAGCCTTGGAAGCAGCCTCTTGTCTTTTCAAAAGACAAGGGAAGACTTACTCTCTATGAACCCTTGTGGTGGTACCCTTCCGTGGACCCTCGCTTTGCGAGGACGCCAATGTGCATTGGGCTGCCTTTTATCCTACATTTTTAACAAAGTTCAAAATTGAAGGAAGTAGAACAACCTGTGGAATGCTTTATTAAAGGTTTAATAAGAACCGACTTGAAAAATAGAAACAATATAGCTAACACAATTAGTACATATTTGTTTGGTAGGGTTGGCTTTTCCTCCACTTTACTTCTACAACGGTGGAGTACGAGAGTTTCTCGCAACACTCAAGCGGCATGTTGTTCTTGTGAGGTTGGTTTCATCATGTGCTATATTTTTAATTCTTTTTATGCCATGATACTCTCTCCCTTGTTTGATGACAATATGATTTCATTTTTGCGATCAGGAAGACTAGCCATTGAACACTTGACAAAATATTTTGACACATTTTTAGCAATTTCTAGATGATTCAATGGAAAAAATAATTCTCCAGTCAGTTGCATGCTATTCCTCTCATATTCATTCATCTACTACAGTACTACTCCATTAGTACCACTTGAATTTACTGATTTGAATGAAATTGATTAAGAGAAACCACTCTCAGCAAGTCTTTATTTATAAGGCAAATAATTACAAGGAAAGAATCATATGCACATCAATCAGTAATTAATTCCTGATTTGATACAATCTGTACAATAAATACTAAAATCAGGAAGGAAATCATATCAAATCTCAACACTCCCCCTCAAGCTGGTGCGTAGATATCATATGCATCAAGCTTGTCACAAATATATCTTATCCTCAGACCTCGAAGTGACTTAGTGAGAAAATCAGCTAACTGATCATTTGATTTGACAAAGGATGTGAAGATTTCTCCAGAAATGACTTTTTCACGAATAAAATGGCAATCGATTTCTATATGTTTTGTTCGTTCATGAAAAACAGGGTTAGAAGCGATGTATAAAGCTGCCTGATTATCACAGATCAGTTTCATAGGCTTCAGTTTGCAAAACTTTAACTCGGACAATAACTGTTTCAGCCATATAAGTTCGCAAGTAGTGAGAGTCATGGCTCGATACTCTGCTTCGGCACTTGATCTAGCGACAACACTCTGTTTCTTGCTCTTCCAAGAGATTAGGTTTCCACCAATGAGAACACAGTACCCTGAAGTTGATCTCCTGTCATTTGGACAGTCGGCCCAATCCGCATCTGAATATGCAGTAATATTGTCACAACCCCGGTTCGCATAAACCAGTCCTCTTCCAAGTGAACCTTTGATGTATCTTAGGATTCGAACAACTGCATCCCAATGACTATCACATGGCGTATTGAGGAACTGACTAACCACGCTCACGGCAAAGGAGATGTCTGGTCTGGTCATAGTGAGATAATTTAACTTCCCCACAAGTCGTCGATATCTTCCAGGATTAGAGATAGGCTCTCCCTGATCTGGCAAAAGTCGAACATTTGGATCAATTGGAGTATCGATCGGCTTACAATCTGTCATCCCGGTTTCCTTCAAAATATCAAGAGCATATTTTCTTTGAGATATGGCAATGCCAGTTTTGGATTGAGCTACCTCAATTCCAAGAAAGTAACGAAGTCGTCCCAAATCTTTTGTTTGAAATTGCTGGGACAAGTATAGTTTAAGATTCTGTATGCCATCATGATCATCCCCTGTTATTACAATATCATCAACATAAACAACAAGGTAAGTAGATTGATTAGATAAAGATCTTTTATAAAACACGGTGTGGTCTGCTTTGCATTGAATCATCCCAAACTGTTTGAGAGCCGTACTGAATCTGCCAAACCACGCTCGTGGGGACTGTTTAAGACCATACAAGGCCTTATGCAACCGACACACATATCTACACCCCCCCGAGCAACAAACCCAGGTGGTTGCTCCATGTAAACTTCTTCTTTTAAATTACCGTGAAGAAATGCATTTTTTATGTCCAACTGATGTAAGGGCTAGCTGCCATAGATAAGAACAAACGTACAGAAGCCATCTTTGCAACCGGAGAAAAAGTGTCACCATAATCCAATCCAAACACTTGAGTAAACCCTTTAGCAACCAAACGTGCTTTCAGCCGGTCAACTTGTCCATCAAGACCAACTTTGATTGTAAACACCCATCGGCAACCAACAATAGATTTACCACGGGGCAGGGGAACAAGAGACCAAGTACGATTGATTTCAAGCGCAGCCATCTCATCAAGCATAGCTCGGCGCCATCCTGGGTGGGCAAGAGCTTCCTGGACAGTTTTAGGAATGGAAACAGAAGAGATGGAAGACACAAAAGCATAATGGGAAGGAGATAGACGATGATAACTTAGACAATTATAAATAGGATGCGGGTTCCGAGTGGAACGTATACCTTTTCCGGTTGCAATTGGAAGATCAGGTTGAACAAGTGCCTCATGTTGGTCCGGAGTAGGTAAAGGAGCTGGAGCTGGAGGTGAATCAGCAGGGTCACTATTAGGGACATCCTCATTAGGTGCAGACCGCGGTCGACGTTGATAAGTAATGAGTGGTTTGGCAGAGGACAATGGAGGACCGAGAGGCGACAATGGAGTAAGATGAGGAATGGGTAAGACCTGAGAGACAGATTCAACTTCCACTTGTGAAGTGAAATACGGTTGATCGTCAAAGAAACTGACATCTGCAGAAGTATAGAAACGATGAGTAGAAGGTGAATAACAACGGTACCCGTTTTGGACTCTAGAGTAGCCAAGGAATATGCACTTGATTGCTTGTGGAGATAATTTGTCAAGACCAGGGGAAAGATCCTGTACGAAACAAGTACAACCAAAGACTTTGGGAGGAATAAGGAAAATGGGGTCCTTTGGGAACAAGATAGAGTGTGGTACTTTGTTATCCAATGTAGAAGATGGCATTCGATTGATTAAATGAATAGCTGTGAGAACAGCATCTCCCCAGAATTTTAGTGGGGCATTGGCATGAACCAGTAGTGTGCGTGCTGTTTCAATGATATGACGATGTTTTCTTTCGGCAATCCCATTTTGTTGAGGCGTGTGGGGACATGTGAATTGATGAATTATCCCTTGAGTAGCCATATATTCATTGAAATTTGTTGAGAAATATTCCTTGGCATTATCACTACGTAGAACACGAATGGTATGATCAAACTGATTTTTTATTTCATTGCAGAAACTTTTGAAAATGCCAAATAACTCTGAACGTTCTTTCATTAAATAAAGCCACGTACATCTTGAAAAATCATCAACAAAGATAACAAAGTACCGAAATCCTAGAACAAAACTGACACGACTTGGACCCCAAACATATGAGTGAACAAGATAGAAGGGAGATTCTGCATGACTATGACTTTTTGGGAAAGTGGTTCTAACATGTTTACCAATTTGACATGACTCACAGGCTAAGGACTGTAAATTGGAAACTTGAGGTACCATTCTCCTCAGTTTATTGAGACTAGGATGACCTAAACGTTGGTGAAGCAAAGAAGGAGACTCCATAGCAGTGCAAGCAACTGAAGAGGAAGTCTGAAAGTAGTATAGACCCTTAGATTCAAATCATGCTCCAATCATCTGTCCCGTACTCCGGTCCTGTATAGAAAAAGAGTCATCAATAAAGGTGACAGCACAATTATGACGACGTGTAAGTTGACTGACAGAAACCAAGTTGAAAGGACAACCAGGGATAAGAAGAACAGAATTAAGAGACAAAGAAGGATGAAGTGTGGCCTGTCCAACGCCAATGGCTTTAACTTTTGAACCATCAGCAAGGGTGACATGGTGCGCTGATTTAGGTTGAGGTAACTTTGAGAAAAGCGAAGGATTACCGGCAATGTGATCAGAGGCACCAGAATCTATGATCCAAGATTTGGCGGGTCCTGATTGAGAAAGACAAGTTGTAGAGTTACCGGTAAAGTTGACTGCCGCTGAGGAATGCTGAGCTGCCTTAAGTTGTAGATACTCTTTATATTCATCATCTGATAGAACATTCTGGGCACTTTTAGTTGCTGCCCCAGGTTTCACCGGTTCGGAGTGCATTACATTAACAGACTTGTCAGGCCAACCAATAATTTCATAACATTTATCTTTGGTATGACCCATGCGCTGACAATGACTACACTTAGGTCGACCACCAGTGCCACGTCCTCCTCTATCACGACCACGACCACGACCGCCATAGCTAGAACGAGAGACAAGAGCAGAGAACTCTGAATCAACGTGAGGACCAACACTTTCAATTCCACTTGGTGCAGGAACTCTCAACAGTCGACCGATAAGGTCTTCAGCAGTGGGAATGTTTGGATTCGTTAGGATCTGGTTCCGCACGGAATCAAAATCCCTATGAAGTCCATGGAGAACAAACACCATACACATTTTATCAATTTTATCAAACACTTTAGGGAGATCAGTTTCGCTCAACATCACCTTAACCTCTTCAACAATGGATAGTGCCTTATTCACATATGATGGAAGGTCATGGTCGGACATTTGGAGTGTTGCAAGGCTATGAACAACGTCATAAATCCGTTGGACATCATTCGCAAACACACTTCGAGCTTTCTTCCATATGTCATAACACGTCTTGTATGTGCGGAAGTGGATCAACAGTTTGGGATCAATGGACTGCCACAAAATAGCAACCAATTGATGGTCGGCTTGAGTCCATTTTTCCCTTTCAGATGCAGTTATCTCATCGACTCTTTTGGTCAAATGTTCGGACAAACCTTGGCCTAAGAACCACATTTCAACAGAAACTTGCCAATCCCTGTAGTTTCTGCCGTTAAGTTTTTCAGAAGTTATTTGGGGATTCCCAGAAAAGACAAAGGACACAAGACTCCTGGAAGAGTCAGGAGTCGTGCTGCTTGCAGGAGACATGATGTATACTGACTTGGGAACAATCTGGAATGACTAGGACTTCTATTCCTAGTGCCGGCAGACCAGTCTCGATGAAGGTTGGCTGCAGGGACGACTAGGGAAAGTGAGGATCAGGCTCTGATACCAACTTGAATTTACTGATTTGAATGAAATTGATTAAGAGAAACTACTCTCAGCAAGTCTTTATTTATAAGGCAAATAATTACAAGGAAAGAATCATATGCACATCAATCAGTAATTAATTCCTGATTTGATACAATCTGTACAATAAATACTAAAATCAGGAAGGAAATCATATCAAATCTCAACAGTACCTTCTTGGTGCGACTAATGAAGAATCTTTATTATAATGTTAAATATAGCTTCTTCTTATTCTATATATCTTGTTAGCAGTTCTATTGGAACATAGCTTCTTCTTATTCTATATATCTTGTTAGCAGTTCTATTGGAACAAATGTGTGCAATAATGTAATCATTCTACAAGTGGTAAAGGAAGTGTCACTCCATATTATTTTCCATCTTTGTTAAAAACATTGCTACAGACCTGTGATAGAGATCGTGCCAAGGACATGCGGAAAAATAGCATGTTGAGTTTTTTCGACGGCTTAAAGTAGATGTTGCATGTGAAACACAGGAGGATGAGTGAAATAATAATAATAGTATTAAATAATGGTACCAATATTAAATATACAAAAGGGTGTATAAGCGGCAAACATTCCCTTGTCATTTTGACAAGAGGTGACACTCAAGACTTGAACCATCATAGTAAAAGAGAACGAAGGGAGTATATCTTATGTATGTCATGTCATAGTATCTTTATTAGATCGAAAGAAATGTAATGGGTGTGATGAGTGATGACAAGCTGATGCACTTCACTTTATAAATGTACATAGTGTTTGGCACTTTAGAGTGCATAACTAATCATGTATTGGTTTCCAGATCCCTGATCTGTTTGGATTTTTTAATGTGGACTAACCGACTGATACATAAAAACAAGTCCAAGCAAGTGTTATCATATTTTTCACATCCCAAGTGTTGCTATGTCCTTATGGGAGAATCTTTATATTCAGGTCTGCTGAAGATGCCAATGTATTTCTTGTCAATGATTTTCAGGATCCTCTCCAGGTATTTATGTTCTTTTACTTGTTATTTTCTTGATTATTGAAGTAATCTGCAAAATTGGGGTTTCCAAAGATATTCTCTTCATGAAATATCTAACTTTTCATTAAAGTCTTTGTTTTCATTTTGCAGAGAACACTCTCTTCCCTGGAGCTCTCTAGGGCTGTATCTGTATCAGGTAGTCCAACATACTCTGTTGCTGCTAGTGAATCATCCAGTGAGATTGATGGGGAAGCTTCTGATAGGATATCAGCACATGCTCAACAAAGTGGGAGGTCAAGGCAAAAACATTACGACCCTGCTCGAGATCTGTCAATTAATGTTTTAGAGAAATTCTCACTTGTAACTAGATTTGCCCGTGAAGCAACATCTCAACTTTTCCATGAAACTTACAGTGATAGTTTCATATCTAATGAGAGAAAGAAGAGTGACCAGTCCAGGATTGATTATCCTCCTACCACGTCAGATGTTGCAGAGAACGTTATTAGAGCTGTTCCCGTACCTTCAGACCCTGTAGAGGTAACAACTGTGCTCTTCTGATATTCTTCATCTGTATTTGAGTTCCTTAATTAGATCATGAAATACTGTGTGATTGAAAATGTGAATGCTCTATTTCTCTCACCCTGTTCTTGATAGACACTGGTAATTCCGACTATCAACACAACACAATCGATAGTAGAAAATGATGAACAAAATCAGAAAAGAGTTTATTGATGTAAGGGAGAAACACAGAACGCATACAAGCCTTGGACGATTCGAGATGCCCAGTCTCCAAAATCTAAATCCAACCAAATAACAGCCTCCCAATCTTAGACTTCAGACTTCTATTTATAGCAGTTTAGTCCACGCAGGGAACTAACTAACCTTCTAGTTATTTATTATTAACTACCTTTCTATTCCTCCTTTTGTACACGTTATTGTAAAACTGAGTTGGCTGATGTATTGAATTCCTATCAGTTCTCAAATGTTTTTATTTTTTTTCTGAGTTTTGTGTTGTGAAATAGATGCGTAGTTTCTAATTCTTAGCAGCAAATGCGCTTAATCTTGTCAGTGTCACCAACATGAGGGTGAATAATATTTAGGATAAGAATTAAGCATAACCTCTGTCCCGGCTGGTAACTGAACCATGTTATTGGAGTACACATAGTCTTCTACTATGGAACTCTGAACTCTGAACTTACTCTTTTGGTCTGAAAAATCCAGATATTTGTCCTAAACTACATGTATCAAAAGTTAATCAGTTTTCCATCAACAATATTCAATAGGTGTTAGTATTCTCTCACTTCATATAAAGCACTTTTTAGTATTACACTGTCTCATTTTGGACTTAAACATCATGATTATTCTCACGTTTGATAGGTCACAGGCATTTTTATAGTCAATGTTTATGCCATTGGTTGTTGTCTCTCTAATATTTGAAATTCTTGAATATTTGTAATTTTCACTGAGAAATAGTTGTCTAGTAGAGATGCATTTAAATTTATTAGTTATATTCCGCAATCCCTCTCATATGTGGTTTAATATCTTTTGTAGGGAAAGGGATACTTGAAATTTGAATTTTGGATCTAGTTCTAACTCTAGTTTACCTTGAACAAGTGCTTTGTACTGTCAATCTTTAATTTTAACTTTACTTTATATAGCAGATTGACAAATTGTCGCTAGTATGGGGCAAACCGCGGCAGCCTCCCCTGAGGTCAGAAGAGGTGAATGATCTATCCTACCTCTTAACCTGAATAACCCATTCATATTTATTCATATGTGATAGGTAGTTGATGGCTTACCAAAAGAATCTTCCAATTTTATTTTTGTGACTTATAATCTTGTACCCCATTAGCTTCCTACTTTCCATTTCATATATCTCAAAATTACCTTTTCGGTTATCTGTTGAGGAAAAAATTGTGTGGCTCATATTCTTTTCCCTTTTCGAAATAAATCTCAACAACATTTTTTACTTTCATAATAAGCTTGCCAAAAGCAAATAAAAACCTAATTTTGGGACAGATGGAGCATGCTTTTGTGGGCTCTTTTAGAAAGGCATAATTTGCCTGAACCCTTGTAGTTACAGACTTACAGCCATACACTATCATGTATTACATTTTGCTTCATATTGGTCACAACTAGCCAATGTGCAAGTGAAACTATCCTTAAATAGAATAGACATCATATTCTTATTTTTCTTCATGTGGACATGTATTTTTGGTTCTTTGCCAGATCTGACCCGACGTACTGCTCCCCATAGGTTTCTAGCTTCCACTCAATATTCAAAATATTAATGAAATCCCTCACCTGCGATTCTGTGAATTATTGGATTCTGATACTTGGTTACTTCAGTTTTTTCCTAAAACCATTTTCTGTGTTAGTGGGTCACGTTCTTGGATTCCGAAGGAAGAGTTTTGGATCCTGAAGCCTTGAGAAAAAGGATCTTCTATGGCGGAGTTGAACCCAGTCTGAGGAAAGAGGTTTTTTTTGCCGTTTTTTTTGCTTGCTTTTCCCTCTCAGTAGATGTTTTTAATGATCTGTAATGAAAAAGCACACTATCATTTTTTGCTTGCAGGTCTGGGCATTGTTGCTGGGGTATCATTCATACGATTCAACTTATGCAGAAAGGGAATATCTTGTTTCAGTTAAAAAGTCTGAATATGAAACCATTAAAAATCAATGGAAGGTTTGGTACATTTGCCTGAGTTCTTGCATAGTTAAACATATCTGGCATTAATGTTAAGAGCATGTTGGGAAAGGGTAATGGGTGATTGATGGAAGTGATTCCCAGCTGTATAGCATCAATACCGGTATGCAGTATGTGAGTACGGGTGTGCCAACATGGCAACCCTAAATGTATATAATATGGGTACACAGCGTGTTTATTCACGCACTGCAAATAGGGGACTTTTACAAAAATAATATAAAGTACCCCCCTTAGTCCCAAATTTTGATAGTCCCATGCTTTTTGGGTATAAAAAATAAGAAAGGGGATAAGTTTACCCAACTACCCTTGTATTAAAAGTTATCCCATTTAAAAAGTTCGAATTTACCTATAAAGGCAAGGTTAAAATGGAGATTGTATATTTTTATATAAAAAAGTAAGTTAAAAAAGAAATGGCACTATGAATTTGGGACACCCTAAATGGGAAATATGAGACTATCAATTTGGGAGGGAGAGAGTAATATTTTTGCATGCATATAAATAAAAAATATATTAATGAATAAATCTTAAGATGAAACATAAAGTATTAAGAAACTTATAAATTATGTCTTTTGAATAATATAAATACTTGGAAACTTTTACCCTAATTTTAAAGTTGTGTCTAAATTAAGTATTCATATACTCCCTCCATTCTACAATAGTTGGCATGTATTCTTTTTTTGGAAGTTTTGTATTATTTGACGGTTTGACCTATTTCTATATTTGGAAATTTTTACCCTAAATTTTCATACTCTCTTGCCTATTTTTATCAATTTTCTTCACTTTTTCCTACTTTTTCAACTTTTATTCTTTTATATCCTATTCTTTCTCTTTCCTACTTTTTCTACCCTAATTATTATCCCCCACTATCTCTCTTAAATCTTCGTGAAATATCTGGCGTGTCGACTATTATAGAATGGAAGAAGTACTAAATATGGAGGAGACGTCCTAAAAACATTTTACATACAAATAACGAGATGTGCAAATATTTTTGAAAACATTTTAAATAATTCAGCCTCAATACACACAATATGGCAGTTAAAAGGTACTACCTCCGCCCTGGCTTAAGCTTCTCATTGAAAATCACACGATTATTTAGACAATAATTAAATGAGGTAATTCGAGTATATTTTAAAATTGTTTTTATGGATATATAACATAATGAGGTAATTGATGATAATTGTGTTGTTATAAGTATATTATTTTTAATATAAGGTGATTAATTTTTCATTTAAGAGTGTTAACTATTTCCTAAAGTAGAAATGTGAAGCTTTAGCTGAGACGCCCAAAAGGGGCAAGTGAGAAGCTTAAGCTGGGACAGAGGAAGTATAACATACAAATAAGTTTTGAGCACATCAGTGTGGTATCCTTGAGTTGTATTGGTGCAGCAGAGGGTTCCCATTTCATTTAAGGATTCCAATCTCATAGAATTTTAGGTACAAACTTCTGTAGACAACAACAACAACATCCAAGCCTTAATCCCAAAAGAGTTTGGGGTCGGTTAACATGAATCGATCTGTCATATTGATGCCAAACAGAGAAGACAGACAAGAAAGGGGAAAAAAAGTAGATAAAACGAATAAAATAAAGATAAATAAATATAAGATAACAATAGAATATAAGAAAGATAAACGATACAAAGATAAAAGAGCATAAAAAAGCTAGAAGATAAAAATAACATAAGAATATAAAAAGATAAAGAAGATAAACGATAAAAGAAAATAGAGAGGAAAGGTAGAAAAGACATCAATCGTCCACACGGACGTGTGTCCTCCACTTTGCTCTCTCTAAAGCCATACTCTCATCCAACCCAAGAAGACGCATATCAGTTCTGATTCCTCTAATCCAAGTCTGTTTAGGTCTTCCCCTCTCTCTCTTCTCTGCCTCTTCTCCCCACCCCTCAAGTCGTCTAACAGGTGCATCACTTGGTCTTTTACGCACATGCCCAAACCACCGCAAACGAGACTACTGCATCTTATCTTCTATATGTGCTACTCCCACCTTTTGTCTTATTATCTCATTCCTCAAGCGGTCTCTTCTGGTATGTCCACACATCCAACGCAACATACACATCTCTGCCACACTCATCTTTTTAATGTGGCATTGCTTCACCGCCCAATACTCTACGCCATACATTAATGCATGCCTAATTGTCTAGAAATAAAAGGCAGCCTGGTGTGAGGAAGGGTCCCACTACCAGGGTGTGTAGGGGTACGCCTTCCCTTGTCATTTTTGACAAGAGGCCACTCCCAAGACTTGAACCCCTGACCTCTCAGTTACAAAACAACACCGTAGCCCGTGTGCTAGGGCTCGAAATTTCTACAGACATTGTGTTCTATGTTTTAAATAAGATGAACTGCTAGTTCCATACAGTTAGTTTTGTTATGGTTTTGCACAACGTTTATTTTTGGGAGTTAGAGCTGTGCCATTATTCCCGTCACATTGAGATTTATATGATGACTTTTGTTGCTCCAAAATCTGGGAGTATGAAATTGTGTTTGAACATGGCATCTTGTTCTGTAACTAATGGCCTTGGTAGGTGGGTGCATGAAATTGTCAGTTAAGTAAGTGTTATTTATATATACGTCTATATGTTATGCAGAGCATTTCAAGAGAGCAAGCAAAAAGATTTACCAAATTCCGGGAAAGGAAAGGGCTTATTGAGAAAGATGTGGTATGCTTTGGATTTGTTTGTTCACTTGTCAGTTGTCACACATCTAATTGTTGGTAAAGAAGTGTTCATTATTTATTTTTCCATTTTGTGGATGTCATTTTCTTATTACCATGTACTATCTGTTGCTATTACTTACAAGTGTGATCATGAAAAGTGTTGCAGTAGTTCATTTTTATTGGCCAAAGAAAAAAATATCAATTATCCTTCTCTTTTGGTTTAAGGTGAGGACTGACCGGACACTCTCATTCTATGACGGGGACGAGAATCTTAATGTGAATCTTTTACATGACATACTGCTGACGTACTCATTCTACAACTTTGATTTAGGTTATTGTCAGGTGATTAGGCTCCTGTTTAACTATTTCTTTGTTTACTTGTATGCAGTGACTTTTATACTTATTTTCTATGAATTATTCTACTTAATTAGGCTTGTCTGTTCACATATATGCAACATAAAAAAATGTGTTATTTTCTCACATAGTATTTGATATATCGCCAAAGGCCACCTTATGTTTCAATCTTCAACTTTCAGCAAACATAATTTATGATCATGGTATGTTCACTTTACAACTTTGGGTGCTAATTATGGTTGAAATTTGCATCCTGTTTCGCTTGTAGGGTATGAGTGATCTTTTATCTCCAATATTATATGTAATGGGAGATGAATCAGAATCATTTTGGTGCTTTGTTGCACTAATGGAGCGACTTGGGCCCAATTTTAACCGGGACCAGAATGGAATGCATTCACAGCTTTTTGCACTATCAAAGGTTTTCTCTATCCTCATTTGAGCCACATGATTTTTTTATATACAATGTTACCAACCTGACTCAAATATTGCAAACAAATTCCAGCTGTTGCTCATTCTCCATTCGTATTTGAATCATTTTGTTTTGACCTCTCGACAGTTGATATCTTATTCCATCTTTGGCTTTCCTGATAATTTATGCTTGAATAACTACAGTTGGTGGAGTTGTTAGATAGCCCATTGCATAACTACTTTAACCAGAAGGACTGCTTGAATTACTTCTTCTGCTTTCGCTGGATACTCATACAATTCAAAAGGCAAGGAATCCAATTCTTTGATTTCATCTGTAATTTTTCCTTGCCCTTATTCGCAGTTTCTTTTTTTCTGTTATCTTATTTTGCATCATGAGATTGTTAAATTTATCAAATGTGGTCTGTTGAGTTGACAGAGGCACCACCCACCGTTGTGGCTGATGGCTGAAAACAAAAATGCACCAATAGTAAGGAAAAATAGTCCGTCTTCCAATAGAATTGACGCATTTAAGTGCATGAAAAGTTAGTAATTTTAAGGGGGTGTATTTATACTAAACTAGGGTCACAGTACAGTGAACTGTAAGTCATTTAAAAAGCTAATGACGAAGCGAATCGATGAGACGATGAGTCAATCATAAATATTTATTTTTAAAATTACATTGAAAGTAAATATTTCTAGATCCATAGCAGGTTGGCATGCTATTGCCAATTCTCTATAATTGTCTTATTTAGTACTTTGTATAACAATTGCAGGCACATGCCACATCATTTAAGTTTTAAGAGAAAATCCTTTGCTTCCCTATTTCTCTATTAAAACACCTATTTTGGAAAGTTGGAAAAAGAATGAGCATTGCAATGTTTTCTTTTTATAAAGTTGTGCTCTAATTCTGTTTTGATTTTCGGTCTGTGTGATCTTACAGGGAATTTGAATTTGAGAAAACAATGCAGTTGTGGGAGGTTCTATGGACACATTACTTGAGCGAGCATCTTCACCTGTACGTTTGTGCTGCTCTCCTGAAACGATATCGCAACAAAATAATCGGAGAGCAGATGGATTTTGACACGCTGTTGAAATTCATCAACGAGCTAAGTGGCCATATTGACCTTGACTCTGCCATCCGGGATGCGGAGGCTTTGTGTATATGTGCTGGTGAGAACGGAGCAGCTGCCATCCCACCAGGAACTCCACCTTCCTTGCCCATCGATGGTGATGCTTCCATATACACTCAACAGGATGATGATGATGGCGGTGTACTGTAAATTAGCGGATTTCTCATGTTTTGCACTCCTACCCTGACAACACTGCTTAAGGCATGATATGATACTTTCTTCTCTAGCTAGCTGGACATTGTACATCTATGGATCCAAAATAATTACTAGTATGCTGAATTCAGTTTCTATCCAACAAAATGACCACTGTATCCATTATTTATGGTAAGTAAATAATGCGTTTGAATGCCATATTCAGATTACAGTTGTGTGCGCATAATAATAAATAGTATGAGTGCTAAAATGGAAGGGGTACTTTAAAATTCTAAAGAGCAACCAGCCTGTTAGTTCTGCTGCAATAACAATAGCTGGGCCTTTTCACCATCATTAGGGATGGACGGGTACCTGGTTTTGAAACTGTACCATAAGTCCATAACCGATGGTTTTTATCTTTTTTTTTGCCCACAAACTGGTTTTTCAGTTTTAATTCCGATCATTAACACATCAAAAACTAATATCTAACTATCAAATAAATGATATTGAGAAATGCCGTCACTTGTATATTTGATATTTCGATATTAGTTTTTGATAGGGGTGGACCGGTTCCGGTTCGGGCCCGGTTCAGGCCTGGGCCCTGCCGGGCCTCGGTTCATGAAAGGGGAGGCCCGGAACCGGCCCGGATAACCCCCGGGTCCGGGCCGGGCCGGGCCTCGGTTCATGTATTTTTTTTTGGCTTGTCCTAATTAACCCCCAACCCTCCCCTCTCACCCCCAAACCACCTCAAACCATCTCAAATGGCCCATCATACCCAGCCCAACCCAAAAACTTAAAAAAAAAAGAAAAAAAATAATAATTTGGCCCGGACCGGGCCCGAACCGACCGGGCTGGTTCACTATTTAGCAGGCTCGGGCCTGAACCGCCTACCTCACTGGGCCAGGTGGCCCGAACCGGGCACCAACCGGTTCACCGGGCCGGTCCGGGCCCGCACAGTAGCGGGCCGGTCCGGGCCCGCACAGTAGCGGGCCGGTTCGGGCCCGCACAGTAGCGGGCCGTTCCGGACCCGCACAGTAGCGGGCCGGTCCGGTTCCGGGCCGGTCAGTCCACTCCTAGTTTTTGATAAGTTAAATGACTGAATTTTTAGTGAAAAATTGCTTTATATCAAACTATAGTTTGTATTATTTAAAAAAAAATCCTTATACAAACTATAAAAATGTGATATCTAAACAAATTACTCCGTATAATCTTATCCTATTATAAAAATGTTGTTATATTTGAGATCCAGTTATTGAATCTTAACCAATTCCATATATACGACTTGGCTTCGCAGTTCGCTGGATTTTTGTTATTGAATTATAATTCTAATATAATCAAGACAAGACTTGAAAATCAATTTTAACATCTATCAAGAGCACGGAAGAACTATGAATTTGGAAATTAGTATTAGAAGTTCGGTTGAATCGGTTGAATCGATTGATTCTGTTGAAATTTAGAAATTCTTGTTTGATTCACTGATTCTGCTGATTTATGAAAAAAATGTATTTGAAATATATTTTATTTAATAAAATAAATAAAAAATTATATGAAAAAATAGCTAAAATAGTTTTCTACAATAATTTCAGCCAATACAGCCAAAAAAGTAACATCAACCTTACTTTTTCTTATTATTACACAAATTAACCCGTGAAACCAAAAGTTACATGTTTGGTGAAAAAATGACTGATAAACCATAAGCCTTAAAACTGACTCACTAAAAACAAGCTCTTATTATAAGTTATACTCCATAATCCATATAGCACATTCACTTACAAGAAATTTTCAATTCAACACTTCGCCAAGTTTACTATTGACTTAACCAAATTTTAGCTTTACAATCTTTTATTTTTTTATTGGAAAAAGGGTCAAATAAGCCCATGTACTAACAAAAAAGGTCAAATAAGTTCTTATATAGGAGGCTATGCTATGTCCGGCCGTCATTATTTGGGGCGGTTCTCGGTGGAAATTTTTGATGCAATTTTTTGAGCATATTATTCATTAAGTCTAGTTTACTCATACCAATGGTCCGGACAGAGCCTCCTATATAAGGGCTTATTTGACTTTTTATGGTTAGTACGTGGGTTTATTTGCCCCTTTTTCCTTTTTTTTTGTTTTTTAAACTTAGAAATACTTCAAACAATGGTCCTTGATCATTGTTTAGTCCTAAGGCTAAACCTTAGGGCTAACATGAATAAAAAAAGCAAGAGGTACACCTTGGGTTATACGAGGGATGCACTCTATGTAAACGTTCTTACTCCATCCGTCTCGGAATTATCTTCATTCTTTCCTTTTCGGTTCGTCCCAAATTTATCTCCTTTTTCCTTTTTTGGCAAAGAATTTGTGGTTCACATTTCACAACCATTCTTACATATTTCTCTTTCCTCTGCACAACTCTCCATCACACATTTTTTCACTATCTTAAAACCCGTGCCCAATCAAATAAGGAGATAATTCCGGGACGGAGGTAGTACTTTTAGGAGTACATTTCCCACAGGTAGTACAACTGTGCGGGCCCGGACCGGCCCGGTGAACCGGTTGGTGCCCGGTTCGGGCCACCCGGCCCGGTGAGGTAGGCGGTTCGGGCCCGGGCCTCCTAAATCGTGAACCGGCCTGGCCGGTTCGGGCCCGGTCCGGGCCAATTTATATTTTTTTCTTTTTTTTTTGATTTTTTTTAAGTTTTTGGGTTGGACTGGGTATGATGGGCCGGTTCGGGAATCATTTAAGAATTTTAGGGAATTCAACCTGAAGTTGAACCCGGTGAAGTGAGCTTTCGTAGTGTCATCTGGAGAGTTCTTGGGTTACATCGTCAACGAGAGGGGCATTGAGGCAAGCCTAGAACAGGCCCGAGCCATTCTAGACATAGAATCCCCTAAATTCGTCAAAGACGTAAAGAGGCTGACACGACATGTTGCAACGCTGAATCGTTTCATCTCCAAGTCGTCAGGCAGATGCCAATTATTCTATGAAGTCCTACGGAAAAACAAAAAAAAATTGAATGGTTGGAACAACATGAACAAGCCCTACAACAACCGAAAGAATATATAATGACTCTTGGAAAAAGTGTGTTAAAAGTGTATTAAATGGTCATTTTGGGGCAATTATTTGAGTGGGGTCCACTTCCGATTTGGGTCGGGTCAAAGTGGTTTCGAATTGTCCTTGCTAAGGGCTACAATTCGATATATGGTACACTCAAAACGGATAACGGGTGAATGAGAAATTGTTTTTCGAAGTTTACCCGTTGGAATGGAGAAAACTAGAAAAATGTGGGTTTTAGTGTGGGTTCTTTCCCACACCGAAAATCACAAGGGAATTGGAACCCTTTATAAAGGGAACCCCCCCCCCCCCCCTAAGGAGTTATGATTCCTAAAGGGAAAGACTCTCTCACGCGCGCAGGGGGGGGGTGCGAATCAAATCCTGAAACCGAAGAACAAAAACCGCGACTTGCGTGTGCGGGCGACCTGCACACACGAATGCCGTCCGAAAATCTATCTTCTAAAGATAACGTTAATTTTTGTTCTTCCGGTACATTCCTACTTTAATTTTTGCTCCATGCACATAAATGCCCAATGTCTATATGCTGCCATTGATGTCCCAACGTTCATATGAACGTTTTGGGTTGTTTAAGGACTGGAATCAATGCCCAACGTTTAGGACATTGATGTCCAACGATCATAACCCTTAAACAGTCATTAACACACCTTAATCCACCCCTATAAAAGGCTAGTAGGTGCTTTGCAAAGACACAACCTTTCATACACTTCGTTCACGTATTTTCATAGCTTAAACAGCACCTCTAGCACTCCATACAAACTCCTTCGGTGTTCTGCTTTTGTTCACGTTCGTTGGAAATTTAGTTTGAGTGCTAAACTTATGTTCGAAGTCATCGTATCCTGGGAAGCGATCGTTGCAACGCTCCTAGCACCCCGGGAGGCAATGAATACGTTTTAAGGAAATCGTGCGTAGCACGAGCTTTGGCTCATTCTGCTTCATCTCATTTCTTGTTTTTCTTTAAGTCGTTTTATTTAATTAATCTTTATTAATTAATTTTCTCTGTTTTTCGAAACACACCCAACAATCTTAAAACGGCGTCAATTATCCATTTATTGCCGCCGGCTTGGAAGGATTTCAAGAACTACCTTAAGCATAAGCGAAAGGAAATGAACTTGGAAGAGTTGATCCTCCGTCTGCGGATTGAAGAGGATAATCGGAAGAACGATGGGAGACTCCCAATCGTTAGCGGCGCCAAGGCCAATGTGGTGGAGCATGCAAAAGGCTCAAAAAATAAAAATAATGGGAAGAGCAAGCTCGGTCCCAAGGGAGGCGTTTCCAAACCCAAATTTAATGGAAAATGCTTCAATTGCAACAAGAATGGACACAAGTCCTCAGATTGCAAGGCACCACGAAAGAAGAAAGACTCCCAAGTCAACTTGGTGCAAGGTGGGCAAAAGGATGAAGACATCATCCTAGCGGCTGTGGTTACCGAAGTCAACCTCGTTGGATCCAATTCCAAGGAGTGGTTCGTGGACACCGGTGCAACCCAGCACATTTGCTCTAACCGGGAGCTATTCACAACCTTTGAGCCATCAAACGGTGAGAAGGTGTGGATGGGGAATTCTGCTCATTCTGAGGTTGAAGGCATGGGCAAGGTGGTCCTGAAGATGACTTCGGGCAAGGAGCTGACTCTCAACAATGTGTTGTACGTCCCGGAGATACGCAAAAACTTAATCTCGGGCTCTTTGTTGAACAAGCATGGGTTCCGCATGGTCTTTGAGACGGACAAACTAGTTTTGTCCAAATCGGGAATGTATGTGGTGAAGGGGTATGCAGTTGATGGGCTGTTTAAGCTCAATGTAATGACTATTAATAATAATAATAAAATCTCTTCTGCTTACTTGCTTGAGTCTTCCAATGTGTGGCATGGTAGACTAGGACATGTTAATTTTAATTCTATACGTAGATTATTTAACATGTAACACATTCCTAAATTCACAATTGATGTGAATCACAAATGTGGAGTTTGTGTAGAGGCAAAACTAGCGAAAATGTCTTTCAAATCGGTTGAAAGAAAAACGGAACCACTAAAATTAATTCATAGTGAGGTTTGTGATTTTAAATCAATACAAACATGTGGCGGTAATAAATATTTTATTACTTTTATCGATGATAGCACTCGCTATAGCTATGTTTATTTATTAAAAAATAAACACAAAGCAATCGATAAATTTATTCTTTATAAGAATGAAGTGGAAAACCAACTTAATCGACGGATTAAAACGGTTAGGAGTGATCGAGGTGGTGAGTATGAAGCACCATTTGGAGACTTTTGCGCAAGTGTGGGTATAGTACACGAACGTACCGCACCCTATTCACCTCAATCAAACGGTGTTGCCGAACGAAAGAATCGCACATTGAAAGATATGATGAATGCGATGCTAGTATGTTCGGGCTTGCTACAAAATATGTGGGGCGAAGCAATCTTGACAAGCAATTACCTTTTAAATAAGGTTCCCCGGAAAAAATATGATAAAACTCCGTACGAGTTGTGGAAAGGCAGACGGCCTTCCTATCAATATTTAAAAGTGTGGGGGTGTCTTGCTAAGGTGCTTGTACCAACACCTAAGAAAATAAAAATAGGTCCAAAAACGGTGGATTGTATTTTTATTGGATATGCACAAAATAGTAGTGCGTATCGGTTTTTAGTGTACGATTCGAATAATCCGGATGTACATAAAAACACAATAATTGAATCAAGGAATGCTTCATTCTTTGAAGATGTATTTCCATGCAAGTCCAACGAAGGGCCTAGCACGTCAAAACGAACATTTGACGTAGCTATAGAAAATACTAGCGAGGGATCCGGAGAAGAACCCGAACCCAGACGTAGCAAACGTGCTAGAATTGAAAAATCCTTCGGACCGGATTTCCTCACCTACCTGGTAGAAGTTGACTCGGATATTCTAACACGTATGGTAGAAAATGAACCGGATTTTCTAACATGTTTGGTAGAAAATGAGCCACGGACTTATACGGAAGCCGTGACGTCTACCGAAGGTCCTATGTGGAAAGAAGCCATCAAAAGTGAGGTGGATTCTATCCTTAAAAATCACACATGGGAATTGGTTGATCTTCCTCCAGGAAATAAACCTTTGGGATCCAAGTGGATTTTTAAACGGAAAATGAAACATGTTTGGTAGAAAATGAGCCACGGACTTATACGGAAGCCGTGACGTCTACCGAAGGTCCTATGTGGAAAGAAGCCATCAAAAGTGAGGTGGATTCTATCCTTAAAAATCACACATGGGAATTGGTTGATCTTCCTCCAGGAAATAAACATTTGGGATCCAAGTGGATTTTTAAACGGAAAATGAAACATGACGGTTCCATCGATAAGTACAAGGCCAGACTTGTAATCAAGGGATACAAGCAACGTGAGGGCCATGATTACTTTGACACATATTCTCCTGTGACGAGAATAAATTCCATTAGGATGATACTAGCAATTGCCGCATTGCGGAAATTGGAAGTTCATCAAATGGACGTAAAAACCGCTTTTCTAAATGGCGATATAGACGAAGAAATCTATATGGAACAGCCTGAGGGCTTTCGTGTTCCTGGCCAAGAAAGGAAAGTGTGTAAATTAATTAAATCATTGTATGGATTGAAACAAGCCCCTAAACAGTGGCACGAGAAGTTCGACCATGTAATGTTAATTAATGGGTTTAAAATAAACGAAAGTGACAAATGCGTCTATGTGAAAAGCACGGTAGACGACTATGTCATTTTGTGTTTATACGTGGATGATATACTCATCGTGGGTAGCAATAATCTAATGATTAATTCTACCAAAAGCATGTTAAATTCTAAGTTTGACATGAAGGATATGGGGCTGGCCGATTTAATCCTTGGGATTAAAATAATTAGAGGACCTGACGGTCTAACGCTAAGTCAATCCCATTACGTTGATAAAATTCATACTAAATTTAATAAGGATGATTATCAAGAGGCAAGGACGCTATTAGATAAAAATGTACATCTGACCAAAAATCGTGGAGAGTGTATTTCTCAAGTAGAATACGCTAGGATTATTGGCAGTTTAATGTATCTAATGAGTTGTACCAGGCCTGATATTGCCTTTGTGGTTAGTAAGCTTAGTAGATATACTAGCAACCCCGGTGATGAACACTGGAAGGCAATAGTAAGGGTTTTGAGGTATTTACGGAAAACCCAAAACCTTGGACTGCACTATGGAAGATATCCAGCTGTACTTGAAGGGTATAGCGACGCTAGTTGGATATCTGACATTAAGGACTCAAAATCCACAAGTGGATATGTTTTCACTTTGGGGGGTGCAGCCGTGTCGTGGAAATCCTCGAAACAAACGTTAATAGCTAGATCCACGATGGAATCTGAGCTAATAGCCTCGGATAAGTGCACTGAAGAGGCAGAATGGCTACGCCATTTTCTCGAGGATATTCCAAGTTGGGAGAAGCCTGTCCCTCCAATATGCATACATTGTGATTGTCAAGCGGCAATTGGAAGGGCACAGAGCAATCTCTACAATGGTAAGTCTAGACACGTTCGTCGTAGACATAACACCATTAAACAACTCCTCACAACGGGTGTTATCACTGTTGACTACGTGAAGTCAAAGGGTAACGTAGCGGATCCGCTAACCAAGGCATTGGATAGAGAATTGTTGGAGAAGTTATCACGAGGAATGGGACTAAAGCCCGTAAATTGAAAAGTTCTATAGTGGATACCCAACCTAGTTGGTCCTAGGTTCAAAAGGGACAACTAAATTATAGAGCGAAGGATGGTCACTGTGGGGGTCCCGGACTCCTACCCACTCCTCGTTGAAACAGTGACTCCCGCACGAGGTTAGCAAAAACGTTTGCTTTAATGATTCTAAAATGTTGATCTACTCGATAACATTGGAAGAGTATGCGGGATACTCATGAAAGAATCACCTATGTGAGAGAGAAGAGGGCCGCTTCAAAGGAGAACTGTAATGGCTCAGTTCTTTAGAAAATCTTGCAGAACCAGGACGGTGACCCATGGCCAAAACGGGCACACCCATGAGAACGGAACAAAGTTGGAAGGTTCTTGTGTAAAGATAAGTCAATGTTTACACGACGGCAGTATAGTTCAAGGACATCGAGTCTACTAGACAGTCAGTAAATAAACGTGTCTTTACAGCGGAAGGTTCAAAGGATAAAACCTACCTCTCCGTGTGCAGGGATCATCCGGTGAACACAACGTGTCCTCCTATCTTCGTGTCTTTTTAAGTCTCGAAAATCAATTTTCATTCATGTGGGGGATTGTTGGAAAAAGTGTGTTAAAAGTGTATTAAATGGTCATTTTGGGGCAATTATTTGAGTAAGGTCCACTTCCGATTTGGGTCGGGTCAAAGTGGTTTCGGATTTTCCATGCTAAGGGCTACAATTCGATATATGGTACACTCAAAACGGATAAAGGGTGAATGAGAAATTGTTTTTCGATGTTTACTCGTTGGAATGGAGAAAACTAGGAAAATGTGGGTTTTAGTGCGAGTTCTTTCCCACACCGAAAATCACAAGGGTATTTGAACCCTTTATAAAGGGAAACCCCCCTAAGGAGTTAAGATTCCTAAAGGGAAAGGCTCTCTCATGCGCGCAGGGGGGGGTGCGAATCAAATCCCGAAACCGAAGAACAAAAACCGCGACTTGCGTGTGCGGGCGACCTGCACACACGAATGCCGTCCGAAAATCTATCTTCTAAAGATAACGTTAATTTTTGTTCTTCCGGTACATTCCTACTTTAATTTTTGCTCCATGCACATAAATGCCCAATGTCTATATGCTGCCATTGATGTCCCAACGTTCATATGAACGTTTTGGGTTGTTTAAGGACTGGAATCAATGCCCAACGTTTAGGACATTGATGTCCAACGATCATAACCCTTAAACAGTCATTAACACACCTTAATCCACCCCTATAAAAGGCTAGTAGGTGCTTTGCAAAGACACAACCTTTCATACACTTCGTTCACGTATTTTCATAGCTTAAACAGCACCTCTAGCACTCCATACAAACTCCTTCGGTGTTCTGCTTTTGTTCACGTTCGTTGGAACTTTAGTTTGAGTGCTAAAATTATGTTCGAAGTCATCGTATCCTGGGAAACGATCGTTGCAACGCTCCTAGCACCCCGGGAGGCAACGAATACGTTTTAAGGAAATCGTGCGTAGCACGAGCTTTGGCTCATTCTGCTTCATCTCATTTCTTGTTTTTCTTTAAGTCATTTTATTTAATTAATCTTTATTAATTAATTTTCTCTGTTTTTCGAAACACACCCAACAATGACTTCCGCGAGGATAGGAGTTGCGGCTACTTCGTCGGATCGTTGGATTGACAATCAAGACTCAAGAGAGAGAATTTTAGCTTAAATAGATTAGTTCTATACAAACAAACACACGATCACTATCATTCAAGTATTATCAACACTGTTGTATTCAAACACCAAAGCTGATATATTCATTATACTCCGTCCCGGAATTATCTTCATACTTTCCTTTTCGGTCCGTTCCAATTTTATCTCCTCTTTCTCCTTTTAGCAAAGAATTTGTGGTTCACAATCATTCTTACACATTCTTACACATTTCTCTTTCCTCTGCACAACCCTCCAACATACATTTCCCACTATATTAATATGTGTGCTAATTGTACTTGTGAAGATAAATATGGGACAGAGGGAGTACTATTTATTGTTATTCAAACTTCTTTGATCAATAGCTCTTGTGCCATCCCATATATCAAATCAATAGTTTTTAGATTTATTATGTCTTGCATAAACAATAACTTTTAACGGATTAAAAATATATGAATTTTAAAGTTCATAAACTGTTTATAAAAATTAGGGAAACAAGATAGTACTTCCTCTGTTCTTTTTTAAATGCAACGATTCACTTTTCACGTTTGCCAACGCACAAGTTTGACCATTAATATCTTTCATTCCTTATTAGTAAAAAATTAAAAAAAAAATAGATTTTGAAAATTTGAAATGAGAAGAATTTAACAATATTTTTTTTAAAATTTTATTTATAATACATTAATAAATAAAATAGAATTAAAGTAAAACATGTGAATAGTGGGAAAAGTCCAATGTTGCATTTAAAAAAGAATGGAGGGTAGGAAGCGTATATGGTACAACTAGTCGGCTGTACGGTGCCAACCGTACAGTCGATGGCAAACTTGTAATTTCGGTAAAAATCACAGATTCTCTTTAAATGAGCATTGAAGCAATTTTGATGAGCACTAGTGATATCTGCTTCATTCCTCATATATCACATTATATTTATTATTTTTTCGTTTATTAAAAAGTTCGAGTCCAAAATGAGATACGTAACTTACAAATTAGTATCAAATAATTAAAAAGTTCATTTGTGTGTGCTCATTCATTTTAGGTGTGATACTCATTTGAGTTAAACATAAAACTTATTTCTAATGCGCTCAATATTCATTTGTATACGTTCATTTTGTGTAGGCGTATACTCATTTGAGATCAATAGTAACAAAGATTCCTTAGCAACGAATTAGACTCCTGTTGTAATATTATACTTTTGAAATATGAATGAAAATGACATTTTAAAATGAGTATTACACTAATATGAATATACATAAATTACAAAATGATCATTCATAAAACTATTTCAAATGTCAACTATGTTCATAACTTAGATTTATGTAACTTGTTTGCTAACCTCCCCACTATCCCGGTGGAGATTACACCTTTTGGAACAATGTAACCCGGTTGCTACACTCCCTCACCAGGTGCTGCGCAAGAAAAAGGGAGAAGAAGCCGGAGTTTGGGGTGGTGGGCTCCTGTAGGAGAGTTGGGATCGTTGAGAATCGTATCTGTGTAGTCCCAAACTTTTTCTAAACGCCGCCATGTCGAACGCTCGAATGGGGTAGTTCAACTCACTCAACCACTGTACTGCTCCCCTTCATTCTCAGTGTTCTGTCGGCCATGTCGAACGTGGTAGTTCTAGACAATGGAGGCGGCCTGATAAAGGCTGGGATCGGTGGGGAGAGAGACCCCGCCGCCGTCGTTCCGAACTGCACGGGACGTCCACTTTCTACGAAAAAGTGGCTCGTCGCTGACCAACTCCTTGCCCCAGACGCAGATCTCACATCGGCCACCGTCCGCCGCCCTATTGACCGCGGCTACATCATAAACACCGATCTTCAATCCTCAATATGGTCCCACATTTTCAACAACCTCCTCAAAATCAGCCCCGGTGAATCCTCTCTTCTCCTAACCGAACCCCTCTTCACTCTCCCCTCTATCCAACGCTCAGTTGATGAGATCGTTTTCGAAGAGTTCAACTTTCAGGCCCTGTTCGTTGCAGATTCACCATCTTTGGTCCATCTCTACGAGGCCTCGCGTAGACCCTATGGCCTTGTGTCGAAGGCTCAATGTAGCCTCGTTGTGGACTCGGGGTTCTCCTTCACCCACGCGTCTCCGGTTTTCCAGAACTTCACTCTCAACTATGGGGTTAAAAGGTTGGACCTCGGGGGAAAGGCTTTGAGTAATTACTTGAAGGAGCTAGTGAGCTATAGAAGTTTAAATGTTATGGACGAAAGCTTTCTTATGGATGATGTTAAGGAGAAACTCTGTTTTGTTTCTTTGGACATTTCCAGAGATTTGCAGATTGCTAGGTTTGCCTCTTAAAAAAACGTTTTTACTCCTTGGTGGTACCGTTTTATTGCTGAAATTGTTTTTGCAAACGTAGTTGAGTTTTTCTCAATCTTAGACTGAATTGTTATTCACATCTATTTTGCAGGAAGTCAGGCAGGGATAACCTGTTCAGATGCACGTATGTACTCCCTGATGGTGTTACATACATGAGGGGTTTTGTGAAAGATCCAGAGGAAGCAAAGAGATACATGACTCTGTATGAACCAAACCCATCTCAAGTACCAGTAACACAAAAAATTTTCAATCAGGGAGAGAATGCTGATGACATTGAAAATCGAAAGACTGATGTGTCAAGAATTGACTTGACCAAAAATGTAATCTATTGTGTTATGAATGTTATTCGCTTTGATATTTTGACTTTATAACGTTTTTTCCACTTTTAAACAGGAATTTTGCTTGACAAATGAACGATTCCTTGTCCCAGAGATGATTTTCCGTCCAGCAGATTTAGGTCTGTATCCCAATGATTAAATGTTAGTTGTAGCTTAAGTGTTGAACTAATAAATTTAATATGTGAATCATTTACTTCAATAGTATCCATTTAATCTTCTAAAAGATTTTAAATGATTAACTGATTAAGGTTATGTTGTTTCTTGATTTTAAGCTTTAGTTGGAATGTTTTGTGTATTGTAGCTTGGTATTGGTTTGTGGTTTAGAGCTTGTTCGGTTCGAGGATTTCCGAGGGGAATGGGAGGGGCGATATTTGTTTTGGTTTTCAAATACGTGATAAGCTAATAAAATAATAAACAACCCTCCCCTTCCCTTATATCTGAAATATCTGAATCAAACAAGCTCTTAGCAAACTGATGTGTCTGATGAAATGCTCAATTGTGGATTCTTTTGAATATTATGTTTGAATGGATTCAGTGACACCTACACCCAAACACATGGTGGTTTGCACTTTGCAGGAATGCACCAGGCTGGACTTGCGGAGTGCATTGTAAGAGCTGTCAATTCCTGCCATCCTCACCTTCACCCTGTTCTCTATGAGAGGTAATCTGCTTTCCCTATGCTCTTAAAGCTGCTAGCATTCCAAACCTCATTGTTTCTGACTGTTATCATCTTTGGTTTGAACAGCATCATTCTGACTGGTGGAAGCACATTATTTCCTCGATTTGCTGAAAGACTGTAAGTTTTTCTCTCACATAAATTTTTGTTTGTTTGTTATTTGCTTTAATGGTCTTTTGGGCCTCGATTTAAATATTTCATATGAATGCAGAGAAAATGAGCTTCGCCCTCTTGTTCCCGATGAATATCGTGTGAAGATCACAACACAAGAAGAGTAAGTTCCTCTCTTAAAAGAAAACACAAATTTGTTGCCTTCTGCCACCAGCTATATTTTACTCTGTGTTTTTCCCTGTGCAGTCCCATACTTGGTGTTTGGCGAGGTGGATCACTTTTGGCATCAAGTCCTGATTTTGAAACCATGTGCGTGACCAAAGCAGAGTATGAGGAGCTAGGATCTGCACGCTGTCGTCGAAGATTCTTACGGTAGATTCTATGGGTTTGTTATTGCTTGCACGTAGTTGTGAAGATAAAATCTGGTCTATGCACATATAACCAATGCTCATTCACCAGTAAGTTTCTCGCTCCATATTTATTCCTTCTTTGGCTGGAAGGGGTATCTTCAGCACCTTTATTTCTATCATCAACTGGGAACAGTAGAAGGGAGGTGTTTCATTTTCCATTTTGCCACATTGCTCAAAGAATTCATGACAGAAAGTGCATAGTCCAGCCTTTTGGATGCTTACTTGATGGTGTACTATGCATGACATTATGGACCCAGTCCCCGGGGAGCAAAACACTGACTGACAAATGTCACTTGGCATCCATTAGCGAACAACCCTTCTGCTGATTCTCCAGCTTACCTTCTTTGGTGATCTACACACTACTGCACGACAGCCCATCCAGCTGACGTGACATTATGATAGTACATGATCCTTACCAACAACGGCGACCGGTTGCAAATGAAAACCAGAATCCCCTTGTCTCGCAAAAATCTTTGTATATATCATTCTTGAGTTGTTGCCAAGACAAGACTCCAATCGATGCTTATCAAGCAACCTTTTGGTGCCAATCTCATGGCCTTCATTGATTACACCGCAAAGTGGAATCAGCACAATATATATATATATATATATATATATATATATATATATATATATATATATATAATATGAAGCATAAGAAAACATAGAAAATAGGAAAATCTTCAAAACAAGTTAATGAGAGTGTGAGTGAAAGCTGTTCCGTTCACAGTAGCTACACTTTAAATGATTCCCAACGAGATGAGACATAATTCTTTTTCTAATCACAATAATTATACTCCCTCCATCCCCCAATTAAGTTACCACTTTCCTTTTTGGACAGTCTCTAAATTAAGTTCACACTTTCTTACTTTCCTTATTTGGCAAATTATCTACATCAAAACAGTGTCAAACAGTGCAAAATAGTGCCAAACAGTGTCAAACAATGTTTGAATAGTGCAAAACAGTGCACTCCACAGTACAGTCAAATTTATTTTCTTAATACGTGTGAAATCAAACCGGGAACCTAATTGGGGGACGGAGGGAGTATTAACAAGTCTGCAACACTTGTCATCCTTCATATTTACCATAAATCAAGATAGTTTGCAAAATAATAGTTATAATAGAGTTATAGTAGAGGATGCTATTGTAAAAATAAACGATTCTAACGAGATAACATGTACTTTGTATGATATATGGTTTACTTAGAAAAATTTGTTATGTAGGAGTAACACGTCATAAGTTTCTCAATTACATTGTTTTCTTCCAAAGGAGTATACTTGCACTTAGGCTTGGACTCGGGCCCGGCCGGGCCGCCGGTTCCATATCCATAGGCCCGAGACCAGCCTGGGTCTTGATCGGTTCCGGGCCGGTTCCGGTTCATTTTTTTTAATTCTTATTTATTTCACCCCCCACCCCCCAAACCCCTCGTAAATACCCAGCCCAGCCCAGCTAACCCCAGCCCAAACCAAAAAAATAAAAAAAGGCCCGAACCGGGACGGTTCCCCTTTTCCCTTACCTGTGCCCGGAACCGGTAGACCCCCCGGGCCTAGGCCCGAACCGGAAGTCCGGAACCGGACCCGGTTTCCCGGGACAGGCTGGTCCCGCACAGTAGCGGGCCGGGCCGGTTCCCGGGCCGGGTGGCCCGCACCGAGTCCAAGCCTACTTGCACTCCTATTTGGAGAAGTTTTTATTCTTTAATTCTTTTAATATGACTAAAAAGTCATATTTTAGAAACAAAACATACTTGATAGTTGATACGTAGTACTAGGGGTGGACCGGTTCCGGTTCGGGCCTGGCCGGGCCTCGGTTATATTTTTTTTTTGGCTTTTCCTAGTTAACCCCCAACCCTCCCCCTCACTCCCAAACCAACCTTAACCACCTCAAATGGCCCAAAATATCTAACCCAACCCAAAAACATAAAAAAAAAATCAAAAAAATAAAAAATAAAAAATTGGCCCGGCCCGGGCCCGAACCGGCCGTGCCGGTTCACCTTTGAAGGGCCCGAGCCCGAACCGCCATCCCAACGGGCCGGGTGGCCCGAACCGGGCAACCAACCGGTTCACCGGGCCGGTCCGGGCCCACACAGTAGCGGGCCGGTTGGCCCGGCCCGAGTCCACTCCTACGTAGTACTTCCTTTGTTCTTTATTATCTGTCTCGCATTAATATTCCTTTTTGAGACGTTTTTAATTATTTCTCTCTTTCTATTTTAGGAAAGTTTTTAATAAAATACACCCACTTTTATTACTTTTACGGTTTTATCCCTCTTACTTTTCACAAACTACTTTTTCTTTCATGCTTTATCATAACTTTACTCTACTTAATATACTCTCTTTCTTACTTTATCATCACTTTACTCTTTTTAATATACTGTATTTCCTACTTTATCATTTACCCTACACATTCTACATTTACCTTACTATTTTTCTATTAAAATCCGTGCCCAAAGCTAGCGGGACAGATAATAAAGAACGGAGGGAGTACCATTTTAGAACTATATACGGAGTACATTTGTTGTCCCACTTTGAGCAATTTATATAATACTGCTTATGGGTCTCGAAGGGTTCGAGTTACTTTATTGCTACGGAGTATATATAAACAGGTCACCATATAACAAAACAGTCATAACGATTTAAGTATGGAGGATTGACTATATTAGTATTTGGGTTTGTTTCAATATTTTAGCATTGATTTAATTTTAGGAATTACTTAGTACTTCGTATATGGCAAGTGATTGAAAGTGTTTAAAAAATGTAGTTTCAAAATGCAAAAAGACGTTATTGGAAAAAAAGGATTATTTCGTGAAATAGAAATACTGAACAGCCGTTTAAACTCCTTCCGCTCATACTTTTATTTTTTAGCTTGATAATGCTTAAATATATGAGTTAATGACTCAAATAGGACTAATAGCGAAGTTAATTGCACATCTAGGACTATAAACGAAACTTGAGTTTCGTAGGACCAATTTCAGCCCAATTGGACAAAAATGCCACTCTTTTAAATTTTTAAATTCCAAAAATGTAAAATAAAAAAACTATTGAAACCCTAACAGTATCACTGCCATTGCCAGATCCAAATGGCCTGCCGCCACCCCTTGCCGGTGCATTCTGACGCCGCCCTCGCCGATGATGGAATAATTTTTAGCACAATCGGAAAGTAGAAAAACGAAGCTATTGACAAAAAAATCAGAAAAACCAATTTATACAAGAGTCTTTATGCCATAACATGATGTCAATGTACAAACTTCTGCCATAAACTTGGCCAAATATGAAGCAATCATCCAAAATGTATGAAAATCGGATTTTTTCTTAAAACTCAGAAACCAGAAACCAGAAAATCAAAATAGAAGTCCGAAAATTGGAAAATTCAATTCAAAATCCAGAAAAACAGAAGAAAATCGAAGAAGACGAAGAAGAGGATGAGGAGGAGGAAGAAGAAGAAGAAGAAGAGTAGGAGGAGAACCTTAATGACAGCGCCGCACGAAATTGACAGCAACGGCGGGCCGGCGGCTTGAAAGAGAAGTCGATCGATCTAGTGCGCAAGGCGAAGTTGGTGGCGGCGGCGATGGTTAGGGTGAAGTCGATCGATGAGCACAGGGAAGAAAGGGAAAGATGTGTGCAGGAAGAAGGCGGAATGGGGAAGTGGTTGTGCGCAGGGGAAGCGTAAAAGAGATAAGAGGTAATAATGGAATGAAAAATACGGATGTTTCCAAATAGGAATAAAATAGTCTTATTTAGGAAAAAAATCATACATGGTCCTATTTGAGATTTTCTTTTCTCTTTTAGTTCTATATGGGGCAATTACTTTAAATATATTAAAATAAAAGAATTAGTCAAAAAACACATTTTTAGCTTTTTTTAAAAAGTAAAAGTTAAAAACAATTTATAATTTTTTTTTGAAGTAGAGCTTAATTATATTTGCGTGAATTTAAAGTATATATATCATGTACAAGGAATGCCGAGCCCTACAACCCAATCACAACCCTGAATAAAGGTGTTGACGCTAAACTTGTTTGCATGGGATGTTCCGAGCCTTGCATGCAATCCCTTCCAAGGGACCCTTTGCGTGATCTTGGCACCGGCGCCGGTGTTAACATGCTCACCGTAAAAAATGGTGTCCGGAGCTGTGTCGCCGGAATACGCCACCCAACCTTTGGGATCAATGAGACTCTCCATTAGAGTGTAGGAAAACACAGCGGTGGAATAGTCCTTCCAGGGCCGGCCCAAGAACGTGGAGACTCCGGTAAGATCCTCACCGTCAGCCGGTGCAACGGAGCAGTTGATAAAAGAGAAGCCGGACTTGGCCATTGGCTCGTATTTCCCCTGGGCCGTGATAACATTCTGCTGACCCGTTAGGGGCTTCCGGGCGAGGATGCGGCAGTTGTGGAAGACGGCGGCGGAGTAGCCGAATATAAAGTCAACGGTTCCGTAGACGTGGCAGTCGTAGAAGAGCTGGCGGTAGGCTTGCGCCAGGAGCGTGTCTTGGTATCCCGCGATTCTGCATCTGAGGAAGATTCCTTTGTCTGCGTTTGCCATCAATGCCACGGCTTGCTCCATCGCTGCCCCTGCTGTGTTCTCAAATCCCATGTCTCTTGCTACAAACCCTGCCCCAGACACAGCTTCATACATGGTACAAACACAAACAATCAATTACAAATTGCTCCATATAAAGAGTAAAAGACTAAAACAAAGACAAAGTTCTAAAATAGGATCAAACATGTTTTATTCCTTAAAATATAACTTATCTAGTTCTATTAAAAGAATAAGTTGATGAAAATTTCCCAAATAAGAGTGAATAAGAGCATCTCTAACGGTTCCTTTTGAGGACTTGCTTGCAATTTTATAACTAATAGCTTATCATTGGAGTATAACATTATTAATAATAAAAGAAAAGGAAAAAGTTATAGCTAACCATAGGAGTACATTTTAATTTTGGTGCAAAAGCTTATATGGATAGTCAAGCTATGAGGGTAATAGCTAAATGCTTTAACAAATATGCATATTAATAGCATGTTTAACTCATTTTTGTAGGACATTCTTAATTTTCTTTTATCGGATAGTGCATGTTTTTAAATGTTAAATATTTGGTGTGTTATTATCAATCTAATATGTGAGCAATTCAAAGTTTTACATGTTTATAGAGTACCTAAAAATGTAAAGGCCTAGCCTGTTGGTTATTATGAAAACATGCACAACTTGTGAATACCGTTGTGACTTCTGTTTAAGAATGTTTTTAATTAGATTGAAATTTGCAAGCCTGGTATGATTCATGTGTATTTTACAATTATCAAAGCCTGATGTGGTCTAATGTGGTAAGTTTAAGACTAGTCAGACTTAGTATGGTCTATTTCAGTCTACTCTGATCTGTTTTAGTATTGTCTGAGACTGAAACTAGACCAAGTAAAAACAAGTATTTCAGTAAGAGATGTGATGATGATTAATTCAACGGATTATTTAACAAATTAATATATATATATATATATATATATATAGGGTAAAGATCAAATGAGAATACCATCTTAGGAGAGAAATGAGAATGATTCTCAGGTCCAGCACCTCCCAGTCCGAACGCCGTCCGAACACCGCCATTTGGGGCGGTTCCCGGTGGAAATTTTTCATGAAATTTTTTGAGCATGTTCCTCATCAAGTCTTGTTTATCCATACCAAATTTCAGCTCAAAATTCGATAGGGAAGGCAGTCAAATAATTCGTTGAAGTTAACTGCGTTTTTCTATGTATAATTTGGCGCAGTTAACTTCAACGAATTATTTGACTGCCTTCCTGATCGAATTTTGAGCTCAAATTTGGTATGGATAAACTAGACTTGATGAGGAACATGCTCAAAAAATGTCATCAAAAAATTCCGTCGGGAACCGCCTCAAAAGGTGGTGTTCGGACGGCGTTCGGACAGAAAAGTGCTGAACAGGAGAATGACTCTCTCTATATAATGACAATGTATCTATGATACGTACTGAATGTTGCAGAATAATACGTTGGGGTTCCGTTACCGGCATTGAGGTTTCCGGTAACAATTGTAGCACCCATCCCGTCTCCCACCATCATAACGTTGACCTTATCAATATCAACTTTGACAATCTCATTGTAAACTCCTTCTTTCACGTATATCACAAACCTCTTCTCACTGTTACTTGGAGCAGCATTAAGAGCATCTCCTATTGTGGTGAAATTTCCTGACCCGTCTTTCGCCACCACCGCATCATAAGTCAATTGATCATAGCTACTTTGGTACACTAATGGAGCCTCATCATTTGACCTACTCATCATCATACCATTGGTCAATTCAGCATAAACCTCAAAGTCATGCAAAATGGCTAAGCTATTGCTGGTAAGCTCCGAGGAGTTCGTGATTACTCGCAAAACCACATTTCTCAAGGCCGTGTCACCGTTACTAACATCGTCGACGGCGTCAATGCATGTGCGGTGGTAGGTTCCGGCGGCGGTGAGGAATGTTTTGAGATCCTCAAACGTTTCGGGCGTCGTACTTTGATTGTCTTTTGACGGTGATGGTACCGGCACGGCCAAAGAATGCCGAAGGTTGGTAAGCGCGTTGACGGAGAGGAGCTCACGACACAATTTGAGTGCAGTAATTGACTTTCGTTGACTGGACACTTTTTCGAGGCGTAATTCTAGTTTGAGCAACTCATTTGAGGCGGTCAACAACTCGTTGACTGCGACTTCTATGGACAACTTGTAGACCTCTTGCAGTTGTCCATAAAAGTCATTACTATCTCTTATTGGTGGTGGGACAAGAATGGCCGGTGCTAGTCTGTTGTAGCATAGATCTGGGTAGGGTGTGGAGCTACAAATAGCTTGGAGGTGATCCATGGAAATGGTCACACTCATCAAACTGAGGATCATTATTAGCAACAACGATAATGATATTACAACCTTTGTTTGACTATTTTTTCCTCCCCCACTGTACAATGATGAGAGCATTGTTGCTATAGTACTGTTTTATTTTAAGATAAAATCTTGCTCTCTTTTCTTTTCTGTATATACACTCTGCACTGTTACCGGTTCATTGGTTAATTTATACAAGTACAATATAATATCTTCAATGAAAAACCATAAATCAACCTATCTAAAATAGTATAATTATTAATTGGTTCATCAAACATAAAAGCGATTTACTTTGGTCTCAACATTTTTATCCAAATTGGCGTGGTGTGGTGCCGTGGTAAATGTGATTCTAAAATTGAAACTAACATTTATGGCAAGTTATTTTAAAGGATTATCTTCAAAATTTTAAATTACTAGATCAAGACATAATTTTGGAACAACGTGTAGCAACTAGCAAGCAATACACGCTCCTGTTCATGCAAGATTCACTTGGCCCTTCACAACTTGGATATAACATATAGTTAGTCGAGTTTAATTGAGTTGGCAGTTGGCACGAAGTATCGAGTTTGGGATCGAAACATATTTTGGTACGGGCTCGTGACAACACGACTTTGACAGGGATCTCCGAACCCGTGCCAAAATTCCTTCCAAATATGTATTGGCACATCATGTATAATATTTATGGTTTTGAAATGCCTTTTAATTTATTATTCCGTTTTTAACTATAAATAAACCTAAATCTTAGTCAAGGGTAATCTGGTCAACTCATACACTTTTACTCCTATCAAACATTGAGCTCTTATGTAGCAATTTTGTCAGTGAATTTAACGCATAAATAAACTTTATATTACACATAAAGATGGTAATCACGGTATAGTTAAGCATGCAAAAAGGCTGTTCTTTCACTTCTTTGTTATATACTACTCCGTATCTATTAATGATACATAGCACTGTTTATCCTCCGCGAAAAAATGCTGATTTAAAACGTAAAAATCCTCTCGGGCTTGACGAATTTGGTTTCAGACCGCCTCATCGATCTGTGGTATCACACATTCACCCGTTACTGGAAGCTAAGACGCAAACTATATAGCCATAATAAAAAGTGCAGTGGAGAATGTAGAATATTGCCATTCCCATAACCAAAACCTTCAATTCTTCACGCAATAGATGAGCCTTCTTGCGGAATTGGCTCATGAGTTCCATGCTGGACAACCCGATTGTGATGATTGTCGTCAAGTGGCATATACTGTGCCATAATAGCTTTTATCTCTGAGTCCATGTATGACTGCAAGCACAAGTTTATATTATTAGGCAGTTTTTTTACCAAATGACTCCACATACTGAATTGGCTATGCTTAACGATGAGAGAAAAGAGTTAAAAGTTAAAGCATTGTTGAACCTATTAACGAACGGATAACGTATTTGCCATATTACTGAAAATTCAACTATTTCAGCCAAAACACAAAATGCACTTTAGACTGTCGATATGACCTAATAATTACGTGTCGCGTCCTCATCTCATCTCAATGCAGAATGATCTATAGAAATGGAAATTGAAGATTCAAACACAATTTCCTTACATACCCGTAGTCTGTATTTGTAAAATATGTATCCAGTTATACCAGCACAAAGTGCAACGGCTATAACTATCAAAGTGATCATCCGTCCAACTTTTGAAGAGTTTCTTTCTGTACAACATATAAACAAATTTTCTGTAACAAAACATCAAGAGATTAATGACATGAAGCCTATTTTTATTATTAGTGAATATATTCTACTACCTCCGTCCCGGTGGACTTTGCCAAGTGCAAAGTAGGTGAGAAATAAGAATAGTAAAAACTGTGTGGTTGAGATTTATGCAGAGGAGAGAGAAATGTGCAGAACCACAAATTAGTTGCTTTAATAGAAAAGTGACAAAGTTTTTTGGGACAACCAAAAAGGGAAAGTTGGCAAAGTCCAATGGGACGGAGGGAGTATATAATTCTTAAACGTACCGATACATATGTCATGCTCCTTTATGTACAAATTATCCCATCTGCATTTGCAGTCATATCCACCCCAAGTGTTTGTACAAGAGCAACCATCACATTTGCAGGATGTTCCTTCCTTACACTCATTCACATCTGTTACACAATCAAATATAAAAAGAATCTAGTTACAGTACAAGCAACAACTTTAAGAGCGGAATGTCCATTGTTAAAGACATTTATTGTGACTCATCACTGGTCACTACACATTATGTAGTACCTTTGCATGTATGGCCATCCCCCCGAAAGCCATTAGGACACTTGCAGCCAGAAACAAGAGCTTCCTATTTGCATTAAAATATTATCAACAATGAAATCCAGAAAAGAAAAAAAAATCAAAGGAGATGATTATAAAAATGGGTAGCAACACCGAACTGAGCAAGCAGAAAAAGTTATTCCGTGTTTGGTCTCTGACCAGCAACCACCATTGTCTAACATGCACCTTCCAGGACCAACAGCTTTTGCGAACAGAAAAAAGTAGAAGAAGATTTAAGAAGCAACATACTTAGATAGTCAAATATACGATTTAGAGTATGCACACAAAACACTACAGCAAGGCATTAAAGGTAGTGAAAGGATGTTTGTTCTGGTTCTACTTAGGGTTCTACTCAAGTCCCACATTGGAAAAATAACAGACAAAACATAAGTGGACACCTAAATCAATTAGCGTGATGTTTTTGTGAGGCACTTAAAAATAAATCTGTTTGCCTGTGGCTAAAGCTGACAATGTCATACTACTGTGGACTTGAGATAAAATTCGCAGTCGTAACAGTTCTTGGTTACAAACCAGCAGGTTTAATAGCTGGACACTTGAACATTCTTCTATGAGTGAGGAACATTATTACAATATATAACTATGGAATTTAGAAGTCAAGCTTGTTACAACAATACAAGTTCCAATTATTGCATTGTTAAGAGTGAATCCCATCAATGGTTGTTCTAATATTCAAACGCAAATAGATCTAATGTGTTGAGTGCAAAACCAATCCCTCATTGGCTGGGAATCAGTGTGCCGCCCCTGGTATATACACCCCCAATCCTTCATTGAAATAGGTTGTTGTGTACCTAGTATATTGTTTAACTATCATAGTAATATTTTTCACATTTCAGGTAGACATTATACCTTTACATGATGCATATCCATCGCCTTTGTACTCAACACCATTCAAGGAAGGGCATTCACAAACTCTCCCCCTATACGTGTCCTTCACAAAACCAATTTGTAATAAGAAGCAAGCAAATCATACGTACTATATATACTAACACCTAATCCGAGATTCAAGTTGAAGTTTAAAAAAACTTCTTCCAGGAAAATAAATTCTGAACAAGTGCTTTTTTGAGGATTGGGGTATGGGATAGATATGTGTTTTTGAAGTTATACTTATTTCGCATAGAGGCTAAATGTGATGTTTAAAATTTAAATTATGTACAAAGTGCACAATTCAACCCCCTTTCCTACCCCCACCCCAAACCATGTCTTCTAATGGATCATTCATCCTAGATGGACTTTCGTAATACAGACTCTTTTAGATATTAAAATCAATTTTTGGTTAACACTAGAATTTAATTGAGATAACATTAGGATAACGTGAGCAATAATGGGATAGTCTGAAAACCACACCAGAGCATCCCTTGAGGCTAAATACCTTGCAGGCTGTTGCATTAGATTTTGGGTCACGCCAGCAGCCACCATTATTTTCAAGGCACTCATTTGTCTCCATATCTGATAAGATATCACCCCATCTAGATGTCAGATTGGATTGTATCAGTGTTGATTAAAAGACAAGTTAAAGCTAACCTCCGTTAAGACAGATTGCAGGTTCACTTGTTTCTTTAAACCCAGCACAAATTGCTTTGAGCACAGCAGTCCTCTCAAGTTTACCTTATTGAAGCAGTAGATGGGATTTGATGAGCACCCATACAAAAGCATATGCATGTAAGTGCAATAAACATAAAAGTGTAGACAAGAGATAATACATGTCATTTTTATGGAAATTTTCATATACATTATAAAAAAGTACGGATAAATGCTGCTTTTGAACAATATGTGTTTATGATATGCATATACAGCAAAACAAATAGGATATATAATTATATACAGACATGCATATACATGTAAACACATACATACATACAAACAAACAAACTTATATACATACATACAAACATACATAAAACTTATAAAACCAACCTCTGTATTGGACATTATTTATGACCATGGTGGGCAACATAATAACATCTCCACGAGTCCCTTGACCGATCTGAGGCAAACAAAACAGAAATATATAGAACTCTTATTAGCTTTTGCAGCTTGAAATTAAATGAATCTGGCGCAAGAGAAATAATTGAAAGATCTAAAGAACACAGTAAATCTTTGTTTTGTGTGTGTAATAAATGTTGACAGTGAAGAATACTTAAGCATAGAAAAAAATTAAGCTTGTACTTTAATGCTTTACAAAAATAAATTGTGAACCTGATGTTCTTGCTCAGCTTTTAGGAGTGGATTGTCGGCATCAGCTTCAGGATCACCCATGCACTTTGCCATCTTTTCCATAGGCAGGTCTGATGATAAGGTAACCCAAAAAGAAGAAACACACACAGATTGAAGATGTATAATTAGATATAAAAAATTGAAGCCCCTGAGGAAATAGATGAGTTAAAAAGACTGAGCTGAACTAGATAACTGATGGGATTCAATATTTTTAACATTTTTTGGCATAAATGCTATGACTTACTCCAATCAAATACCAAATTCAGTAAGAAATAGAGACTTACTGAGAGATTTCAAGACTCCTTCTGCACATTCTTTGCTATATTTCTTGTCCTTCATGGAACACCGGATGTGGAAATCTGTGACGTAATCCCACCAAACCCAGGACTTTCCAGTCTCATTGGCAACCCTGTGCACGCAAAGCTGCCTCAAGTTCTCCAGCACTACATCCCTGCCTTCATACCCTTTCTGAAAATCCTGCTCTGGATCAGGAGCACAGTACCTGCCGTGATTTATGCACTGGGACTGGCATTGGCTGCTCTTACTAAAAGGCTCAAAGCAGTACCATGTGACATAGTGAGGTGTGAACGCCGTGTATCCACCCTTTTCGAGAATCTGAGCATTCCCT